ATTAATAGTATTATAAATATTATTTTTATTTTTATTATTATTATTATTTTATTATTATTTTTAATATTATTTTATTATTATAATTATTAAATTAATTTATTATTGTGAACACCACTGATGGATTTGAAAAAAGACTCTTCTGTGTGAAAATAGATATTTAAATATATATATATTTTTTATTTTTTTTTTTTAAAATTTTTTCAAAATTTTTTCAAAAATTTTTTTTTTTTTTTTTTTTTTTTTTTTTTAAATTTTTTTTAAATTTTTTTTTTTTTTTATTTTTTTTATAATTTTTTAAACTGGCAAAATTAAAATTTTTATATATTTTCTATATATATTTCTTTTTTTTCTTGCATTTCATAAATAAAGAGAAAAAAAAAAAACGTACATATTCCACACCCCTAATTAAAAAACAACCCTTTATTTTTTTTTTTGGGTTTTTTTTTTTTTTTTTTTTTTTCTACATTATTTTTTTAATTTTTTTTTTTAAAAATTTTTATTTATTTTTTTAATTAAAGAAAAAAAATTAACACACATTTTTTTTCATCTTTATTACACATACCAAATAACAATTTATATCAAATTTTTTTTTTTTCAAAAAAAAAAGTTACATTTATTGTTATTACTAGATAATAAGTTAAAATAAAAATAAAAATAAAAATAATAATAATAGAAACATAAATCAACTTTAACATTTAATAAAAAATCTCAGTATAATTTAAAAGTAGATTTTAGATATCAATAATTATTAATCTCCATAATAATTAGTAGAAATAAATAAAAAAATGTACGGTGGAGGTGTTTATAGAGTATCAAAAGCATCAGAGCTTTTAGAAAATTTAAAAGGCGAAATTGAATCTCTTACACATGAAATATCAGTATATAAGCATCAAAAGGATGATTATGAAAGAAAATGTAAGTATTTTTTTTAAAATTATAATCTTTAAAATCTTTAAAATAAATACTAATTGTTTTTTTTTTTTTATGACAATAGTTCAAAATCAATTAGCAGAGTTAAATACTATACAACAAACATTATATGATCTCGAAAGACAACAAACTAAAATGAAATTGCATTACGAGGAGGAGATAAGAAATTTAAAGAGACAATTAGATCAACAAAATAATGGCAATTTAAATAATAGAGATTTAAGCAGCCCATCTACCTTTAATAGATCAAACAGTCCAGCTCCAACTCCACAACATATGCAAAGAAATACACCAACCCCAACCAATCCAGATAAGGGTCAACCAAATAAACAAGGCAGAAATAGATCAAACTCTGGTGAATTCTATCCATCTGGTGGTACATCATTCCCAACACTCAATCCATTAGATCAAGGTAGAGGCCATCCACAAAATATGCCAAAAGAAAATATTGCAAGTATGGGTAATAACATTAAAAAAGATGAAGATGCAAAAGAAGAAGAAAGAAGAAGACAGTATGTAGATCAAACAAAAAATATTAATAATAGTCATTTATTAATAATAAACTGAAATTATTAATAATAATAATAAATAATAATAATAATAATAATAACATTTATTTTTAAATTAATTATAGAGAAAGAGAAATGGAAATTGATGAAAATGGTAAAGAAAAAGGTCAAGATTGGCTTGTTGGATATAATCCAAGTGTACAAACAAATTTAAATATTGATTTACTTCATAATTTACAACATAATAGTGTTGTTTGTTGTGTCAACTTTTCGAACGATGGTAAATATTTAGCAACTGGTTGTAATAGAAGTGCTCAAATTTATGATGTTGATAGTGGTAAAAAGATTCAGTAAGTTGATTAAAATATTGATTATAGTTTTATTATTATTATTATTATTATTATTAACTTTTTTTGTATTACTTTAGCTCATTTGTCGATGAAAGTGATAAAGATGGTGATCTTTATATTAGATCTGTTTGTTTCAGTCCAGATGGTAATTATCTTGCAACAGGTGCAGAAGATAAAACAGTTAAAGTATGGGATATTCACTCTAAAAAAATTCAACACACCTTTTACGGACATGAATTGGATATTTATTCATTAGATTATTCAAGTGATGGTAGATTTATTGTTTCCGGCAGTGGTGATAAGAAAGCTAAAATTTGGGACATTGAAAAAGGTAAATGTGCTTACACTCTTGGAAATGAAGAAGTTGGTCCAAAGAATGGTGTAACATCAGTTGCTATGAGTCCAGATGGAAGATTGGTTGCAGCAGTATGTAGAAATAATACTTTGAAAAAAATAATTTTTAAATCAAATTTATTAATCAAATTTATTATTATTATTATTATTATAGGGTTCATTAGATAATATTGTACGTTTATGGGATGCACAAACAGGCTATTTCTTAGAAAGATACGAAGGTCATTTAGATTCAGTTTATTCAGTTGCTTTCTCACCAGACGGTAAATCTTTAGCATCAGGTAGTCTTGATAAATCATTAAAACTTTGGGATTTATCAGGTTCACGTTCACGTTCACGTTGCAGAGCCACCTTTAATGGCCACAAAGATTTCGTTTTATCAGTTGCTTTCTCACCAGATGGTAACTGGCTCATTTCTGGTTCAAAAGATCGTTCCGTTCAATTCTGGGATCCAAGAAATGGTACTACTCATATGATGTTACAAGGTCACAAAAACTCTGTTATTAGTGTTGCTCTCTCACCAAAACTTTCATCATATGGTGTTTTCGCTACTGGTTCAGGCGATTTCAGAGCCAGATTATGGAAATATGACTCTTAAATATTTTAGGTTATTTTTAAAAAAAGTTTCAATAATTTAAAAAAAAAAAAAAAAAAACAAAACCAAAAAAAAATCAATCAAAAACTTCCATATCAAATTTTTTTTTTTATTTTTTGATTTTAATCATATAATTACTTTATAAATATTAAAATAATGATGATCAATATTAAAAAAAAAAAAGGAAAAAAAAAAAAAAAAAAAAAAAAGAAAAATATATAAAAAAAAAAACCAAAAAAAAAAATATATATAAATAAAATAAATGTAAAAAATTTAAAATAATAATAATAGTTTATAGGTTAGTTTAATATTTTTTTTATTTTTAGTTATATACCAAATTTATAAATTTAGTTTTTTTTTTTTTTTTTTTTTTTTTTATAACATTCCACCAAGTTTATTATTTAATAAATACTCTGCATCCTATATAAATAAAATAAAATGTAATATTAGTATTTTGTAAAATGATCATTAAAATGTTTTATTATTATAATAATTTTTGATGTTCCTTGGAACTTTCTAAACTTTTCATAGGAATTCCTCCCCGGCTCCTTAAAAGCATTAGTTAGTCTGAATCTAAAGTATTCATAATTTGAAAATTTTAA